TTACTGTTATTGTCTTTAATTTCAAAGTACTTTCCCACATATCTGAATGCAAAAACTTCCTTTATTGATCAATTTGATATTATGTGTCATCTTTTAAAGGGAGCAATTCTCCATATCTTTCTTGTATTTCAAAAATCTAAGTTAAGGGAAAATTTGAAACTTTGTTGATCAGCCTGTATAGGAACAAGCAAATATATACTATCCTTACTTATATTATTCATACTATTGTCCTCCATATTTATCACAATGTTTCAGCTGATGTACGCTTGGCCTTCTTCAGGTGGTTGGAATGTTGAACTGAACCCTTTATTTCGCTCGCTAGGGTAGACTTTTCTAGTTCCACATGTCATGTCTAATGGATGTCAGTTATCAATTATCTCCTGTTAATTCCCCTCTCCAAGTTCTCCACTGCCTTAACCAGGTATTGAACTCACAACTCTTTGGGTCCTGTCACTGGATCTAACCAACACCTCTATCCACTGTGCCATGTGTCTTTAAGGACATCTGTGTACTTTTTACCAGTGCTTATATTGCAATTTTTGCCGTTATCATTGCATGTTCTGTGATAAATATGGCAACAAAGATGAGGACAATAGTCCAAATAATGTAAATAGTGTACATAATACCTCATCTCAGAAATATAGACATATACTATCTTTCTTCCTCCATCTTCTTGACTTCTCCCCCTCCAACCTGCCTGTCCAGGCATAGGGTCGATTTGGGTATGAAATTTGAAAGGTAATTCTTCGTTAAGCGATGACAGGTTACCAAAAGTTAGAAATTGACCAACTGGAACATTTCTCTACATATAGGCATACGTGCAAGCTGGTTTCATTTAATTTTTTTATTTACTTATTTTTTTTTTAAATTTCAGTAATTTTATTAGTTACCCATTGAACAGATAATTTCATTAGAGACCAGAGAATTTGTTTATACATTACAATTGGTTCTCAGAGTCATAAGGTTGGTTTGTTTTTTCTTTTGCATAGGACTATGCATTTTATTGTTTAATTTTTCTCTGAAATCATTTCTCTGATAATTACCATATATACTTGCAATCCTGCAACTTTTAAAGACCTAATTTTGATGCTAATTTTAAGGGGTCGCATCATACATGAGATATAAAATTAGCGTATGTACTACTTGTCCTGGCTATGCCATTGACCAACCTATATATCCATCGACTGTAGTCAAATTAGCTTCAGAATTAGATCTTCAAAGGTTGTATGATACACGAGTATACATAGTAGTATCCTAAGCATTTGGTGTCAGCTGCCTCATCCAAATATAATTCAGGGTAGAGTGTCAGTACGTTTTAGTCATCTGGATTAACAATTGGAGTGGAAAGTTAGTCTCAATTTTTCTCCTTCCTGCTCTGTCAGCATGTTCTAGAAAATGCTGACTGCATACCCTGCAAAATGTAAAAACTGCCCCCACAAAAAGAGCTGCCTATCAAGTAAATTATTCCTTACTAGTAATATCTGTAAAAAATTTCAGTTTTCCTATTTGAATTTTCTGATTAATCCTAATTCTTAAGTTAATGATTGAATAAGCTTCTCGTGAAAATTCCCTTTTTGTATTGTTAAATATTTGAGCTTAAAAATTTTAACAAAATATTGCAATAATAATCATAAGTATGAATGCAGGTCATTATTTAAAGAAGTAAGAGGGTACAAATGAAATGATAAAAAATTACCAAGGTTTTGCATTTCATTGAAGCAGCCGGCAAACATATGAAAGTGCTATCACCTTTCTTTCCTTCCATAAATCCAAACAGCACGTTTGATATACCTTTTCTCTCAATTTGTGGTCAGGAGACAGATAAGCTATGAAAGGTCCTTCCTTGCAATCAAGAATGTCCCATTGTTTATCTGAGGTAATGGCAGGGCGTAACATGCTAAGAAAAGAAAAAGAACAAGCAGAATGATAATATGGACCTGCGTAAATTATAATTTTTTAATGCTGCACTTTTCAACCGATGATGATTGCCAGATAGTTATAAGAAAAGTGACATAGTCTGTCTTAAAAATACTGAAATGTAGTATGCTTCATTAATAATCTAAAAGTATTTTCCATAAAGATAATAAATATAAATTATATACATTTTCCACACATGAACTGTAATTACTTGTCTTTATTTTTTCCCAGATCATGTATAATCTGGAAATATATGTGGCCATTAGAGACCGCAATAAAAATGATTTTTTTAATTTTTTTTTGCAATCCATCTAGTTTTATTCCAAGGATTGTTGCATTATTAATGTTCTTATAAAGATTTTAACAACTTAAAGTGATTTTTACAATATGGGTGAGGCCAAAGAAAGTATTTTTGAAATTATATCCATTTACACATGCTAGTAACATGAAATACGATCAAGTCACTCACAAATAAATATATTCTAATGTTGTCCCATAATAATATGTACATATGTACACATGCTTAGGTCACATGAGAACATAAGCAAAAGAATTCTTAATAGGTTCATAAATATTTAAAGAGAAATACTAATAAAAGTTACTAATGCCAATAGTACAATCTGCTTGTTGGATACAGAGATAAACTTGGTTCCTACACCTAGCTCTATAAAAGTCTCTGAAAGTTTGACTGTTTCCCTAATGTGGCTATAGAGCCAAGTAATTGGTATCACAGTACTTCATTATAGCTGATATTTCTAGTATACAAATAACATAGATTGTATATGAATAAGTTGGCTGATGTACAGGTTTAAATAAAACTTTTATATTTGTAAGATAATCACAGATTATGTTAATTAATGTACCAAACGTGTAAAATTGTGGAAAGATTGATTTCAGTCAAGTGGTTCATAAGTTAAAACTGATTCAAATAGAAATTCATTGTAAATCGATCCTCCATCATGGAACCAAAACAAATGAAGCTTTTCATTTTATTTTTTTTGTTTTTAATTGAGCCCCTTCGATCATGATAATCAAAAGAAATTGTTCTGGTTTATTAATAATTTTAAAAAATCCCTAGAAGTACCGATGAAAATTTCACAGATTTCATGTTTTAATTCTTTTTTTTTTTTCCTCAGTGAAACCAAGTAACATTTCTGATATATCTTTTTCCATTTTTCATTGTGATCAAAATGGAACAGTCCATTATTTATGTGGTGTTATCAGGGTGTTTTATTTTTTCTTTCCTTTCATTTTCTCACTGAAACCAAGCAACGTCTCTGATATGTCTTTTCATGCAATCAAAACAATAGTCCCTTATTTATTAGTTATTGACAGGGCATGAGATATGTGCTAACTGAGGAAGGAAGGTACAAGCAGAATTATAAGATATTTGTTATTACAATTTAATTTGCTTAATGACGAAAGTTCATATATATATATATATATATATATATACACACACACACACATATACTTACTCAAATTTCCAAAATCAGTTGTTTTATATAACTGGTAAATTTACCAAAGTTCATATTGATTTTATTTTTTTCCCCTTGAGTATTTTAAATGTTGCTACATCTGTTTTCAAGGATGTACCAATTATATAAAATTTGGAATATTGAAACTTTTGAAAAAGTTAATAAAAAAAAAATTATATAGAAGTTGCATTATTATATATATAATTCTACTAGTAGAATTATATATATATATATATATATATAAAAAGAAAGAACAGTAAGATATAAAATTCGCTTGAAGATGAAATGGAACTAATGCTTTTAATTTAATTGCAAAATTAAATTCGGGGTTTTAGCTTCTATTTTTGAAACATGGTTGGAACTGTGTAGCGAAAAAAAACATATATTTTAAATCAATTAATTTATTTATATATATATATATATATATATATATATATATATATATATATAATTCTACCCGGTAAAACTTTGATGATTGTGCTTTATCCATAATACCAGCAAATTGGATATTGTGTAATATTAAATTTTCTTTAGTCTTTCCCTATGTTCTTTATTTAAAATAAATCTTTTTATGAAAAAAAAAAATGTATTTTATCAATCTAAAGAACAATGAGGAAAATCCCAAATTCGTAAAAAAGACAACATCAGTAGGATGTTGTTATCAATGATATGGGCATGGTTTTAGGGGACAAAACAAAGTTGTTTCTCTTTCTTTCTCACACACTTATTGCTTTCCTTTGTTCTTCCTCTTTCACTGTTCCTCCTCAACAACTGATTTCACATAGACTCATATAGCCACTTTCCTACCCAAAATTCCCTGTATTCTCACCATCCATTATAATTATGGTAAGGCAGGTAGCATCCATTACGACACAATTCTTTTACATAGGCACAGTTTAAAACTTTCGTAAATAAAAACAAAGTACAGATAACTCTTTCAAAAGTCAGGATCTATTTCACACTGTATATCATAAGCAGGACCCTCCCTTTAAAATGATAAATCTTTTTTTTGATTCTTACAAACATCATGCTTTGAGGAATATCTTATAAATGCAAATTTACAAAATTTCCCTGTTTTTATGAGTTTAACTTTGATATTACCCTTCTTCTATAATATAGCCAATGAATTCCTGTGATGAAGTGTTGTTAATTTTTTATGTATTTTTTCATCTTACCTCTATTGCTGTTTTATTGCAACTGTCAGCTATGACTGTTAACATTTAGCCCTCTGCATCATTTATAAATATTACTCCCCCCCCTTTTACTGTATATGGAGTCTGCTCTAAATATAGTGTTTTATGTATTAGTTCTATATGTTTGAAATTGCAGTAGCTTGTATTGGCTGGACTAACATTTTGCTTGGTGAAAATAGTCACCTACAGAGTGCTAAAGGTTAAATAAACAGTATGGTTTAGGAATAAAGAAGAAACATTTGGGGAGATTTGAACTCGCATCTCTTTTCTTTAGAAGCCTGTAACTTCAGCAATATGGTTTTGTTCACAGAGGTATTTTACTAGGGGTTGTTGCACAAATTTATGTCGGGTCACTCTACAAATACCATTGGTATCATATAACTCAATACTATCTGCCGGCTTATGGTCATATGTTGAAATACTGGTTCTCATATGATCACTGATGTTAAGCAATGTCAAGCTTGGTCAGTACCTAGATTGGTGACCATTTGAGAATACCAGGTGCTGTAAGCTTGAATGTGCAGGTGGTGCAATGGATAACAGCTCAGAATTAGAAATTGAAGAGCCAAGTTCCAATTCCAGTCGGGTTTGTTATGTGTAAATACTCTTGGGAAAGTTATGAATCTACCTCTTCTCTTTCCCCCAGCTATGGGTTAATTAGTAAAACTTATATCAGTAAATCATTATTATTTCCAAAAAAATTCTTGCAATCTAAAAATATTATCTGGCTTTAAATAACCTGCAACAGGTTTCTAAACCATAAAAAATCAATCACTGAATCATTACTACCTACCTCATTGTTGGCTGCTAAACTGGTTCCTCAATGAGATTTTTCTGGTGTGGAGATTGGCTAGATACTCATCAGGGTTAAAAAGAAGATGTCAAAAAGCAGATGAACTATCTTGTGGGGGTCAATGACAAACTAGTGGACTTCATAACTATGTATGTAGCCAGTGTCATCACTAAGCAGAGGGCTTCCTAGAATGAAGTTAATGACCGGGACAGAGGGTTCTGCTCAATGGAATCAATGGCCAAATGTCCATGACTTGGAGAACATCAACTGTGGTTTGACCTGAAGAGGAATGGACCCCACCAGGTTTACTTTCCCAAGACATGTTAGGCAGGTATTAATACCTCTCCAGCTTTCAACCTAGAAATGTTCAGGTCAGGCGCTCAGCTGTGTAGTGACCCTACAATCAAACCCAGTCATGGGATTGATGATGTCGTCACTCAAATAAGACATAATTGTTTGTTGAGATGTTGTGAGTTTCCTGCGTGTCGGTGTATGAATCAAGACAAACACAGTTGTAGAGGAAAATACTGGTATATTCATAAAAGCAATTAACAATAGAGTGATTAGTAGAACGAAGGTTGGTTAGTACGAAACAATATCCAAAGTCTATAGTCCAACGGTATGTACCGGGTAAGCTTATCTGGACTGCTGACGCTCTCGCCAGAGCTGACTTATATAAGAGGGACCAGTCCATTACTAGTTAGAAGGTGGGTGCGCCCCAACACCCCCCCCCTAAAATTTTTTTTTTTTTTTTCTTTTTCATTGTGGGGAGAAAAAAAAATTAATATTTTTTCCTTTTCGGGTCTATTATTAAATTTTGTGTCGCTTTACGTTTTCTTGCAGATCTGCGTTGTTTCTGCTCAGTCTGCGGTATTTGCAGGTCAAATGTATCAAACAATTAGTGTAATTCGTCTTCTTGTGGAATTACTTCCGATTCGTCGGTCTTTCTTTTCTTCAACTGGTTAATGTGCCGTGTGTGTGTAAATTTGTTTCCTTGTATAATGTATACCATATCCCCAATGCGTTTTTTTATGACCCCTGGTTCACATGATGTTGCATTATTTGTATAATTTTTGAAAAAAATTTTTTCATTAATGTTAAATTTTCACCTGGGAACCATAGCGACTGTTGAGTGTACCTTATTTTCTGGTATCAATTTGTCAAAAACCGATCTGACCTTTCTTGCGAACATTAGTTCCGCAGGTGATAGGCTTGATGGGGCAGATTTATTCGGGGTAATTCGGTACACTTGCAGGAATATCTGTAACGCCTTTCTAGTCGGGGTACCTGTTGCTTTCCTAAGAGCTCTTTTCAGTGTATCGACGAACCTTTCGGCTAGTCCGTTGCTACGTGGGTGATATGGAGGAATCCTCACGTGATCAACTTGGAAATTTTGGCAGAATTCTGTGAATTCTTTGCTTGTGAATTGGGTACCGTTGTCACTAACAACAGTATCTACCACCCCAAACCTTGCAAATAATTAATGTAATTTGTTTATTGTATTTTGAGATGTTGGCCTCTTCATTTGAAAAACTTCGGGCCATTTACTAAAACTGTCGACTACGACCAAATAATGCCATCCGTCAATTGGACCCGCAAAATCAATGTGAATCCTTGACCATGGCCTGTCGGTTTTTGGCCATGGCTTCTGTAGAATTTGTGGTGATTTTGATGCCAAAATGCAGCCTTTACATCTGCCGACCATAGACGCGATGTCGTTGTCCATACCTGGCCAGTAGACGTATGCTCTCATGAGGCTCTTCATTCTATTTATGCCCGGGTGACCAGCATGAAAGTCTTTCAGTATTCTTTTTGGAGTGTGTTAGGGATTACCACCCTTTCACTGTATAATAGCACATTATCGCACAGAGAGAATGTCTCTTGAATTTTTTTCATCTTTACTGGCTAGCTTATTTTTTTACTTCTAATATATATTTGTCTTTTTCTGCTTTTTTTTGATGTCCTTAAGCAATACTGGTAATTCTCGTATTGCGTTTGCCAAATTTTCTTCAACCTCGTCCTCTGCTCTGAGGGAAGCGATTACCGTATCCTCTAAAGGTTCTGTTGCTTTTGGGATGAGTCTTGATAGCCCATCTGCGTGACCAATTTTGTGGGTGGACAAATATTGTATTCTGAAATTATAATTTAATAAAATTGTCCCCCACCTAAGCAATCTATTTGTGGTGTAAGTTGGCAGACCCTTTTTTGAGCCGAATATCGTTACCAGAGGCTTGTGGTCTGTCTGTAGCGTGAAAAACTGTCCATGTATGTATCGATGGAATTTTGTTACAGCGAAAATAATCGCCAATGCCTCTTTCTCAATTTGTGAATAGTTTCATTCAGCAGGTAGTAGCAATCTGCTTGCATGAGCGATCGGTCGAACTTTTCCATTCTTCCACTTGTGCAATATGCACGCACCTACGCCGTGTGTACTGGCATCGCTCGCCACGATGATATCTACCTTTGGATCAAAATGTACAAGAAATAGATCTGAAGTTAATTTTTCTTTTATATCCTTGAATGCTTGCTCGCATTCTTTTGTCCAAATCAAGGGTTTTCTTTTTTTTAGTAGATCGTTAAGGGAGCTCGTAGAATGTGGAGGTATGGGATAAAGTCCTGGTAATATGACACCAAGCCTAAAAAAACTTTGTAGGGATTTAATATCCTTTGGCTCAGGCATATTTTTTATTGCTGAAGCTCGACTTTTATCTGGTTTTTCCTTCTTTATTCACTATATGTCCCAGATACTTGATCTCTTCCAGGAGAAAATCGCATTTGTTTTCTTTCACTCGAAATCCATATCTTCTTAACCTTTCGAAAACTTTGCGTAAATGGTGTTTGTGTTCATCCACCGATTCACTTTTTACAAGAATATCGTCGAGATATGCTATTGTGTAGTCTAACCCGGATAACATCGTATCCATAATTTTCTGGAATATTATGGTGCTGTCTTCACCCGAATGGTAAATGTTCGTATCTAAACAAGCCTTTATGTGTGTTAATACATAGTAACTTTGCACTTTCGTTATCCATGGGTACTTGCAAGTATGCCTCGCTAAGATCTATTTTCGAAAAGATTTTTCCGCCATTTAACTTTGCGAACACTTCTTCGGGACTTGGTAGTGGATAGTGAAACTCTTCTATTGCGTCATTTAACCCGGTTGAAAAATCGGCGCAGACGCGAATTTCGCCCGACTTCTTCTTTATGTAGACAGCCGGAGATGCCCAGTCACTATATTCTGTTTTCGAGATCACACCAATTCTCGTTAGTCTTTCGAGTTCTTGATCAATTTTCTCTAATGTGGCAAAAGGGATGCTACGCTTTTTTTAAAAAATTGGTTGGATATTTTTCTTCAGCTGTATTTTTGCTGATGCTTCAGTGCAACGTCCAAGTCCTTCAGCAAAAACTTCGGGGAATTCTGTTTTCAATTCTGCTTGTAGATTTTTTATATGGTCTTTGCTTTCACTAATGTTGTGGCAAAAAGAACTAATGGGCACGTCCCATAGGTTGAACTTAGTGATTGCGTCAGTCCCAAACAGGTTGTTTGTGTTTTTCATTACAAACATTTTCATTTTTATCGACTTATTGTTGAAAGTTATATTTACCCATATTTCCCCTTCAAATTTTATCTTTTTTCCAGTTACCGTCCTGGCTATTTTGTTGGATTTTAGCAACGTTGGTTTTCCTAGATTTTTCCATGTTTGCGTGTTAATGATTGAAATGTCAGATCCTGAATCTAGTTGCATTTTACCTTCTTGTTGTACATTTTTACATGCAGGTATTTTCGAATATTCAGGTCTTGATCTTCGTCTAACTTGGTAACTTTTACTCGACTTCTGTTTAATTTTCTACACTTTGACATCTTATGTCCTACTTTTTTGCAATTTCTGCACGCTTTATTTTTATATGGGCAGTCATTGTACCAGTGCCACTGGCCACATCCATAACATGCACTCGGAGGGGTTTTTTTTTCTATAGCCTCTGTTCGTTCTTGTAGTAGGATACCACTTCCGTTCGGCGATGGAGAACTGAAACTAGTCTTCCTATATACTTTCTTCACATTTGCGATAGCAGTTTCTTCTATTTTTTCTGAATCTTGCTTAATGCTTACGCATTGCTGACAGTACTCAGCTAGCTTTTGTAGTGTCATGTTTTGGTCATTTTCTAGTTTTGTTAAAATGCGTCTTCGCATTTCACTATCTTTTTAGACACTAAGCCTAGCACGAATATTAGACACTTGAAATTGTCTGCCGATAATTCAGACAAGCGAAAATCGTCACACGTCTTATTTACGATTGACGCGAACGTTGTGTAATCTTCCTCCTCGCTTTTTTGGATATTCAGGCATTTTCGCCTTTTGTGAAATAATGAAAATCTGGGATTAAAAAGCTCTTTTAATAATTCAATTGCTTCATCGAATTTTAAATCTCTTGTCCTTTTGGGCAATATAAAATCTGTAAACTTGTGTTCTGCCGTTCCCAGTTTTCGTAGCAATAATCTTATTTTTTTCTCATCTGTCCATGTTTGGCAATCAACTTCATAAAAATCCTGATATCTATGGTAGTATCTTTCGAAAGTCTTTTCCTCTTCTGGGTTATAAGTAAAACTTTCGATCGTTGACCATATTGTGTCTTGGGAAAAAATATTTTCATCCGAGTCTTTCTGCTTGGACAGTGTAGCTTTATGTATAAGTTCGGCCATTGCTAACTGTTTCTTT